GTGTGAGTCTACGGGTCTCTGAGTGAGTCTACGGGTCTCTGAGTGAGTCTATGTGTCTCTGAGCGAGTCTACGGGTATCTGTGTGAGTCTATGGGTCTCTGTGTGAGTCTATGGGTCTCTGCGTGAGTCTATGGGTCTCTGAGTGAGTCTATGTGTCTCTGTGTGAGTCTATGGGTCTCTGTGTGAGTCTATGGGTCTCTGTGTGAGTCTATGGGTCTCTGTGTGAGTCTATGGGTCTCTGAGTGAGTCTATGGGTCTCTGTGCGAGTCTCTGTGTCTCTGTGTGAGTCTATGGGTCTCTGTGCGAGTCTATGGGTCTCTGTGCGAGTCTATGGATCTCTGTGTGAGTCTATGGGTCTCTGTGTGAGTCTATGGGTCTCTGTGTGAGTCTATGGGTCTCTGCGTGAGTCTATGAGTCTCTGAGTGAGTCTATGGGTCTCTGAGTGAGTCTATGTGTCTGTGTGAGTCTATGGGTCTCTGAGTGAGTCTATGGGTCTCAGCGTGAGTCTATGTGTCTCTGCGTGAGTCTATGGGTCTCTGAGTGAGTCTATGGGTCTCTGCGTGAGTCTATGGGTCTCTGAGTGAGTCTATGTGTCTCTGAGTGAGTCTATGTGTCTCTGAGTGAGTCTATGTGTCTCTGAGTGAGTCTGTGTCTGAGTGAGTCTATGTGTCTCTGTGCGAGTCTATGGGTCTCTGTGTGAGTCTATGGATCTCTGTGCGAGTCTATGGGTCTCTGTGTGAGTCTATGGATCTCTGTGTGAGTCTATGGGTCTCTGTGTGAGTCTATGGGTCTCTGTGTGAGTCTATGGGTCTCTGTGCGAGTCTATGGATCCCTGTGTGAGTCTATGGGTCTCTGTGTGAGTTTATGTGTCTCTGCGTGAATCTATGGGTCTCTGCGTGAGTCTATGGGTCTGTGTGAGTCTATGGGTCTCTGCATGAGTCTATGGGTCTCTGAGTGAGTCTATGGGTCTCTGTGCGAGTCTATGGGTCTCTGTGTGAGTCTATGGGTCTCTGTGTGAGTCTATGGGTCTCTGTGTGAGTCTATGGGTCTCTGTGTGAGTCTATGTGTCTCTGAGTGAGTCTGTGAGTCTCTGTGTGAGTCTATGGGTCTCTGTGTGTGTCTATGGGTCTCTGTGTGAGTCTATGGGTCTCTGCGTGAGTCTATGGGTCTCTGCGTGAGTCTATGGGTCTCTACGTGAGTCTATGGGTCTCTGCGTGAGTCTATGGGTCTCTGTGTGAGTCTATGGATCCCTGTGTGAGTCTATGGGTCTCTGTGTGAGTATATGGGACTCTGCGTGAGTCTATGGGTCTCTGTGTGAGTCTATGGGTCTCTGTGTGAGTCTATGTGTCTCTGTGTGAGTCTATGGGTCTCTGCGTGAGTCTATGGGTCTCTGTGTGAGTCTATGGATCCCTGTGTGAGTCTATGTGTCTCTGTGTGAGTCTATGGGTCTCTGCGTGAGTCTATGGGTCTCTGCGTGAGTCTATGGGTCTCTGTGTGAGTCTATGGGTCTCTGTGTGAGTCTATGGATCACTGAGTGAGTCTATGGGTCTCTGTGTGAGTCTATGGGTCTCTGCATGAGTCTATGGGTCCTCTGTGTAAGTCTATGGGTCTCTGCGTGAGTCTATGGGTCTCTGTGTGAGTCTATGTGTCTCTGAGTGAGTCTATGGGTCTCTGCGTGAGTCTATGTGTCTCTGAGTGAGTCTATGGGTCTCTGAGTGAGTCTATGGTCTCTGAGTCTATGGGTCTCTGTGTGAGTCTATGGGTCTCTGTGTGAGTCTATGGGTCTCTGTGTGAGTCTATGGGTCTCTGTGTGAGTCTATGGGTCTCTGCGTGAGTCTATGTGTCTCTGAGTGAATCTATGGGTCTCTGTGTGAGTCTATGTGTCTCTGAGTGAGTCTATGGGTCTCTGAGTGAGTCTATGGTCTCTGAGTCTATGGGTTTCTGTGTAAATCTATGTGTCTCTGTGTGAGTCTATGGGTCTCTGCGTGAGTCTATGGGTCTCTGTGTGAGTCTATGGGTCTCTGTGTGAGTCTATGTGTCTCTGAGTGAGTCTATGGGTCTCTGAGTGAGTCTATGGTCTCTGAGTAAGTCTATGGGTCTCTGCGTGAGTCTATGGGTCTCTGTGTGAGTCTATGGGTCTCTGTGTGAGTATATGGGACTCTGCGTGAGTCTATGGGTCTCTGTGTGAGTCTATGGGTCTCTGTGTGAGTCTATGTGTCTCTGTGTGAGTCTATGGGTCTCTGCGTGCGTCTATGGGTCTCTGAGTGAGTCTATGGGTCTCTGCGTGAGTCTATGGGTCTCTGTGTGAGTCTATGGGTCTCTGAGTGAGTCTATGGGTCTCTGAGTGAGTCTATGGTCTCTGAGTCTATGGGTTTCTGTGTAAATCTATGTGTCTCTGAGTGAGTCTACGGGTCTCTGAGTGAATCTATGTGTCTCTGAGTGAGTCTATGGGTCTCTGAGTGAGTCTATGGTCTCTGAGTCTATGGGTTTCTGTGTAAATCTATGTGTCTCTGTGCGAGTCTATGGGTCTCTGAGTGAGTCTATGGTCTCTGAGTCTATGGGTTTCTGTGTAAATCTATGTGTCTCTGTGTGAGTCTATGGGTCTCTGAGTGAGTCTATGGTCTCTGAGTCTATGGGTTTCTGTGTAAATCTATGTGTCTCTGTGTGAGTCTATGGGTCTCTGAGTGAGTCTATGGGTCTCTGCATGAGTCTATGGGTCTCTGTGTGAGTCTATGTGTCTCTGTGTGAGTCTATGGGTCTCTGCAGTGTTCCCGTGTCCCGTAGGACAAATCGACTTAATGCCCACGGCCTTGTCACATGTAAGGTGCACTCCGCGTACGGTACACGGAGATCTACCGCACACGCCCAGGTGTCCTGTACACCACGAACCGCTCGCTCGACTGCCCACACGTGTAACATGTCCTGCATACAATACCCCGTGTCCTGTGTTACGCTGTGTGCGACACCGTATGTCCTGTATCATGTTGTTGATTATAACCTACCTCCTACATTATGCTGTATGTTATATAATGTGTCCTGTACGGTGACGTGTACTAAAACCTGTGTCCTGTATGACGTGTACTACATCCTGTGACCTGTATGACATGTACTACACACACGTGTCCTGTATGACATGTACTACATCCTGTGTCCTGTATGACATGTACACAACCCGTGTCCTGTATGACGTGTACTACTACACACACGTGCCCTGTATGACGTGTACTACATCCTGTGTCCTGTATGACGTGTACTACATCCTGCGTCCTGTATGACGTGTACTACACCCCGTGTCCTGTATGCCGTGTACTACACACGTGTGTGTGTGTGTACGTTCCCCGTGCTCGCTCCACTGCTCTACTGCTGCCCGTTCGCGTGCCCTGCCCCGCCGGTCGCACCGTCGTCGCCCCTGGCAACCACCGCCGGCACCACCGGCACCGGTCGACCCCCGTCACGACCGGTGTCATCAGCGGACAGGGAGTGGGGATGTCCCGCTTGCGAGGGGGCGGAGTCAGGGTGGATGTGGGCGGAGTCAGGGTGGATGTGGGCGGAGTCTGGGTGGATGTGGGAGGAGTCAGGGTGGATGTGGGCGGAGTCAGGGTGGATGTGGGAGGAGTCAGGGTGGATGTGGGCGGAGTCAGGGTGGATGTGGGCGGAGTCAGGGTGGATGTGGGAGGAGTCGGTGTGGATGTGGGCGGAGTCAGGGTGGCTGTGGGAGGAGTCAGGGTGGATGTGGGAGGAGTCAGGGTGGATGTGGGAGGAGTCAGGGTGGATGTGGGAGGAGTCAGGGTGGATGTGGGAGGAGTCAGGGTGGCTGTGGGCGTGCCCGTGGGGGCAGTGGGCGTTGCCACAGTTGGATCCGCCCTCCTCCGATTCGCTGTCCGAGGAGCTCTCGCCAAAGTCGCGCGGCTTCTGGTAGACGCAGCAGCCTGACGTGCCACACACGTACACACATACACGTACACACATACACGTACATATACATACACATAGATACACACACACGTACACACATACAGACACACACGTACACACACACAGATACATATACACACAGATACACACACACAGATACACACGCACACACACACACGTACACACATACAGACACATACAGACACACACGTACACACACATACACACACATACACACACATACACACACATATACACACACATGTACACACACACACGTACACACACACACGTACATACAACAACCGCCATTCGCCACTAAGTGGCGGTGACGTCACCACGACGCTTGTGCCAGGCCATGTGCACCTTGAGGCCACGTGAAGTGTCGAACGCCCGCTGGCAGGAGGTCACGGGGCAGACCCAGCAGGTGCCACGGGTCGACTGACCGAGATGACCGAGATGACTGGCTGATGCACTACCTGTATCCCCTACTGTGCCAACTTGCTGTGCTTTAGCCACCCGGCGCTCCGCTCGTTGTTGTGAGCGTCGCTCCTCCGCCCTCCGTTGTTGTTGGAGGGCGACTGCCTCCAACTGCCCAGTAGCGTCCTTCACGAGCCTCCTCCACTGAGGCCGATCTTGACACCGCTGGTACCAGTCATCGGCAAGTCCACTCAGCTCCACGTCCTCCTGTACCACGTCACTCCATCTCTTCTCCAGCCCATGCCGCGCCCGTCTAGCCCCCTCGATCCGGCCGAACAAAAGCTGTTTAGGCATGCGGTGGCTGGGCATGCGGGCTACATGACCCAGCCAACGCAGCCTTGCCTGCCGGAGGAGCTCACTGATGGGACTTTGCCCAGATCTTTCAAGGATTTGTGAGCTCCTCACACAATCCAGCCTGGTTAAACCTAGGATGGATCGTAGGCAGGCCAGCCTAAATGTTTCCAACCGGCGAAGATGCTCCACCAGGGGGGTCCACGTCTCGCAAGCGTAGAGAAGGGAGGGAATGACCGTGGCCGAGAAGACCTGAAGCTTCGTGCGGAGCGACAGACCAGGTAGCTTCCACACAGCGTTACGCAACCGATGAAAAGATATTGCCGCTCGACTGATTCGGAGTGAGACCTCTGCTGATAAACTGGAGCCGGTCATAAGCACACTGCCCAGGTATGGGAAACTCTCCACTCTCTCCACAACTGCCCCATCACCAATTGGGAGTTGTGGGGGTGGAGTGTCCGATGGTACAAAATATCCAGGCAGGTGCTTAGTTTTGGTGGGGCTGATGGTAAGGCCCCACCTCTTAGTGGCACGCTCCAGTCTCAGCAGCAGCATCTCCAACTCCTCTTCTGAATGAGCAGCTATTACCAAATCATCGGCATACATAACATGGTTGACCAATAGGGAGCCATCCCTTGATCGCACCCGGGCATCGATCACCCTCCCATTATATCTGTACCAAATGGAAATTTCCCCGGTACAGCTATTGAAGGCTTCACAAACTACGCGGTCAAAATAGATGTTGAATAATGTGGGAGCCAGAGGACATCCCTGTCGCACCCCAAGGTGTACAGGGAAAGGCTCTGACTCCCGGCCACGTAGTTTTACCCGGGCCCGCTCACCATCATGAAGGTCCTTAATGATCGTGAGCAGAGGGTCAGGGACTCCGAAAGCACGAAGAACAACCCAGAGCCCAGTCCTACTGATGGTATCATAGGCCTTGACCAGGTCAAAAAAGCAAACATGGCGTCTTTTTGGAATTCCCTACACCTCTGCTGTAGCAGACGGACAGAAAATATGGCATCTGTGCAGGACCGCCCTTTCCTGAAACCGCATTGGGGCTCCGCAAGCCTCTCCTCAGCGTGCCTAGCAAGGCGATGTTGAATAATCCTTGCCAGGACCTTACCCGGCACACTGAGGAGTGAGATGCCCCTGTAGTTGTTACAGTCGGTACGGTCCCCCTTCTTAAAGAGGGGGACCACCAGGGCATCCTTCCAGTCCTGCGGAACCCGTCCAGTGGTCCAGACTGTTGTTATGATGTCATATAGGGCAGTCAGTGCACAAACGCCACCCTCCCTCAGCATTTCGCTTGGGAGATCATCTCTGCCCGGTGCCTTCCCTGGTCTCAGACTCCGGATCGCCCTCAGTACTTCCTCAACAGCTGGCACCTCAGTCAGCCACTCACAGGGGGTGACCTCTTCCAATATTTGAGGCACCGCAGCCTCAGCAGGGTTATCACCACTTTGTGCCATGATGTTTTCCTGGCTGAGAGAATTTCCCTCCCCCAGGACCTCACAGAAATGCTCAGCAAATCTGCAAACCTGTTCCTGGGGGTCGGAGATTGGATCACCGTTTTTTCCTCTAATGATGGTAATAGGTGTGGCGCTGCAGGTTACTTTTTTGATGGAGTTAAATAGTGATTTGTGATCACGGGCCACTGAGGCAGACTCCATCTCCTCAGCAACCCGCGACCACCACCCATCCTTACATCGCCTTACGGCTCTCTGAACTTCCGAGCGAAGGCTGCGGTAAACCTCCTCATTCTCTGACGTGGGATGCTGTAGGCGATGAGAGTGGGCCTGTCGCTTTTTCTCAATTAACCTGAACACCTCCTCTGTCAGCCAGGGTTTCTGGGGAGGTCTGGACCGCGTACCCAAAGCAGCCATTGCAGCTGCATGAGTCACAGTCCTAAACCTCGCCCATTTCCCCTCGACATCAGGTGGAGTGGGGGACGATGCCAACCCCAGCTGCAAGCGATGATGAAATTCTCGCTTGCAACTTTCATCAGCTAACTGAGACCAGGCCACTTTTGGTTGGAATGGGATCCTGGGTGTACACCCACCACCGGAGTGGAAGAAAGGCAGGCGCATTTTACAGTTGACTAGTTGATGGTCAGAGGACAGATCAGCTCCACGGTAGGTCCTGGTGTCAAAGACATGGGCTCGCATCCGCTGGTCCGTCACTATGTAGTCCAGCAGATGTTCTTGCTTGGACCCGGCATGTATCCATGATGTTGTGTGGATGCGCCGATGCCGGAAGAGCGTGTTGGTAATTACAAGCCCATGGGCTGCACAAAAATCTAGCAGCCTCCTACCGTTATTATTGAGCTGATCTGGCCCATGCCTTCCAATCACTCCAGACCAGGTGCCAGCATCATGACCAAATCGGGCATTGAAGTCACCCAACAAGATGACTCTGTCCCGAGTGGCCACTTTAGCCAGCACCTGTGACAGGAGGTCATAGAAAGAGTCTGACTCATCGGCTTTGCCTGCATCCCTCCACGGATGTTCGTCTTCGGTGGGGGCATAAGTAACCACGACCACCACTCCTCGCCTCTGGTTGATGGGAAGGCGAGCCCAAAGTATCCTGGGGCTTACAGCTTCCCACACCTCACCACCACGCTCCCACGCCCCCTTCATTCTTTTGTTCAGAAGAAGAGCCACACCCTGTTGTTTGGCAGTCTCCTGCCCCGAGTAGAGGACTGTCCACCCCTCATGGTGGCAGGAGCCAGAACCGGTCCACCGGACCTCCTGAATGCCACAGAGATCCAGGCGGTACTGGTCCAGCTCCCGACAGAGGAGTGGCAGCCTCTCCTCCGCAGTGAGCGTTCGAACATTCCACGTGGCCATCCGCAATGGTTTTTTGTTGTTTCTGGAGGAGCCCCGAGGGTGAAAATTCAATCTCCTGGCTCCGCCAAATGGGGTTTGGCCAGGAGACGTCATAAAAGCCTGACCCCCCGGAGCCTCCGGCACAAGCTTATTTGTTACAGGTTTATGTGTAATTCGTAATTTAGTGGTGGTTGATTGAAGGTGGAGGGGTTACCAGCCCCTCGCACCCGTCCAGAGCCCCCGTTTAGCCACTGTGGTGGTCACAGACGCCATGAGGGGAGAGGCCAATGAGCATTGGCCCTCCCCCCACAGCACTGCCCACGACAGTGTTGCCCGTCCGGCACCGCGAGGAGGTAGGAGGTTGTTTTGCCGGACACATATAATACATACACATACACACACGCACACAGATACACACACACGTGCACACACACACACATACAACATACACACACAGATACACACACATACACATGTACACACACACACATACACACACACACAGGCGAGGTAGTCAACAACTCCTAGCCACCGTGATGATGATGATGAGAGAGAGAGATGGAACCCACGACCTCCTGTAGACCAGGCGAGGTAGTCAACATCTCCTAGCCACCGTGATGATGAGAGATGGAACCCACGACCTCCTGTAGACCAGGCGAGGTTGTCAACATCTCCTAGCCACCGTGATGATGATGAGAGAGAGAGAGACACACAGGCTCCAAACTATACAGCAGCAGGCGTCAGGGTCAAGATCAAACCCACGACCTCCTGTAGACCAGGCGAGGTTGTCAACATCTCCTAGCCACCGTGATGATGATGATGCTTCAAAGAGTCAGGATCAAACCCACGACCTCCTGCACATGAGGCGAGGTAGTTAACATCTCCTAGCCACCGTGATGATGATGATGCTTCAAAGAGTCAGGATCAAACCCACGACCTCCTGCACACGCGGCGAGGTAGTTAACATCTCCTAGCCACCGTGATGATGATGAGAGATGGAACCCACGACCTCCTGCACACGAGGCGAGGTAGTTAACATCTCCTAGCCACCATGATGATGATGAGAGATGGAACCCACGACCTCCTGCACACGAGGCGAGGTAGTTAACATCTCCTAGCCACCGTGATGATGATGATGCTTCAAAGAGTCAGGATCAAACCCACGACCTCCTGCACACGAGGCGAGGTAGTTAACATCTCCTAGCCACCGTGATGATGATGAGAGAGAGATGGAACCCACGACCTCCTGCACACGAGGCGAGGTAGTTAACATCTCCTAGCCACCATGATGATGATGAGAGATGGAACCCACGACCTCCTGCACACGAGGCGAGGTAGTTAACATCTCCTAGCCACCGTGATGATGATGAGAGAGAGAGATGGAACCCACGACCTCCTGTAGACCCGGCGAGGTAGTCCACGACGGAGACTCACACTTGGAGGAGCGACGACCCAAGTGTTCGTTGTCAATCGTGTCGCTGGTCCACACGACGCGCCGGTCGCCCCGTGGCCTCGTCAGCCTCAGGGTGAGGCCATGGTCGCCTGGCTGTGACAGGGCAGAGGAGGGTGGGTAGGTGGGTGGGGGGGTAGGTGGGGGGGTAGGTGGGTGAGTAGGGTGGGTGGGTAAATAGGTGGGTAGGTAGGTGGGTGGGTAGGTGGGTGGGTGGGTAGGTAGGTGGGTGGGGAGGTGGGTGGGTAGGTGGGTAGGTGGGTGGGGAGGGTGGGTAGATAGGTGGGTAGGGTGGGGTGGGGTGGGTAGGTGGGTCGGTGGGTGGGTAGGTGGGGGGGTAGGTGGGTGGGTAGGTGGGTTGGTGGGTGGGTAGGTGGGTAGGTGGGTGGGGTAGGTAGGTGGGTGGGTGGGTGGGTAGGTGGGTGGGTAGGTGGGTGGGTAGGTGGGGGGGTGGGTGGGTAGGTGGGGGGGTGGGTGGGTAGGTGGGGGTAGGTGGGTGGGTAGGTGGGTAGGGTGGGTGGGAGGTGGGTGGGTGGGTAGGTGGGTGGGTAGGTGGGTGGGTAGGGTAGGCGGGGGATGGGTAGGTGGGGGGGTAGGTGGGTGGGTGGGGTAGGTGGGTGGGTAGGTGGTGGGTAGGTGGGTAGGTAGGTGGGTAGGTGGGTAGGTGGGTAGGGTGGGTGGGTGGGTAGGTGGGTGGGGAGGTGGGTGGGTGGGTAGGTGGGTGGGGTGGGTAGGTGGGTGGGTAGGCGGGTGGGTAGGTGGGTAAGTAGGTGGGTGGGGGGGGTAGGTGGGGGGGTAGGTGGGTGAGTAGGGTGGGTGGGTAAATAGGTGGGTAGGTAGGTGGTGGGTAGGTGGGTGGGTGGGTAGGTAGGTGGGTGGGGAGGTGGGTGGGTGGGTAGGTGGGTAGGTGGGTGGGGAGGGTGGGTAGATAGGTGGGTAGGGTGGGGTGGGGTGGGTGGGTAGGTGGGTCGGTGGGTGGGTAGGTGGGGGGGTAGGTGGGTGGGTAGGTGGGTGGGTTGGTGGGTGGGTAGGTGGGTAGGTGGGTGGGGTAGGTAGGTGGGTGGGTGGGTAGGTGGGTGGGTAGGTGGGTGGGTAGGTGGGGGGGTGGGTGGGTGGGTAGGTGGGGGGGTGGGTGGGTGGGTAGGTAGGTGGGGGTAGGTGGGTGGGTAGGTGGGTAGGGTGGGTGGGAGGTGGGTGGGTAGGTGGGTGGGTAGGTGGGTGGGTAGGGTAGGCGGGGGGTGGGTAGGTGGGGGGGTAGGTGGGTGGGTGGGGTAGGTGGGTGGGTAGGTGGGTGGGTAGGTGGGTAGGTAGGTGGGTAGGGTGGGTGGGTAGGTGGGTAGGTAGGTGGGTAGGTGGGTAGGTGGGTAGGGTGGGTGGGTAGGTGGGTGGGGAGGTAGGTGGGTGGGGAGGTGGGTGGGTGGGTAGGTGGGTGGGGTGGGTAGGTGGGTGGGTAGGCGGGTGGGTAGGTGGGTAAGTAGGTGGGTGGGGTGGGTAGGTGGGTGGGTAGGTGGGGTGGGTGGGTGGGTAGGTGGGTGGGTAGGGTGGTTGGGGTCAATGCGAGAGAGGTGGTGCAGCGGCAGAGGTCGCAAACGGGTTTTGATTCCTTTCCCGTACCCGGCCGCACCAGGGTCGCAAATGGGTACCCGATACCCGTACCCTACCCGATACCCGGCTACCCGTGGCCGGGTACAGGTACGGGTACCCGTTTGCGACCCTAGTGCGGCCGGGTACGGGTACAGGTAGGCCGTGAGTCACTGGTGAGTCACCGTTTGTCACTCATTTCCCAACGTCTTGTCTCTTCTCACGATTCAAGTTCCTAGAATCAACCCACCCGCGCCTGCAACATGGCTTCATCCCAGAGGTCGCAATCAGGTACCCGATACCCGTACCCTACCCGTGCCCGGCTGGGTACGGGTAGGGTACGGGTACGGCCGGGTACAGGTACCCGTTTGCGACCCTGGTGCGGCAGGGTACGGGCAGGCCGTGAGTCACTGGCGAGTCACCGTTTGTCACTCATTTCGGGTAGGGCACAGGGTACGGGTAGGGAACGGCTACCCGTACCCGGCCGGGTACGGGTAGCCGTACCCATGTGCGACCCTGGTGTGGCCGGGTACGGGTACGGGTAAGGAATCAAAACCCGTTTGCGACCTCCGCTAACAGGCCACGGACCGGTACCGGTACACGGTCCGGAGGTTGGGGACCCCCCCAGCTTTAGACAGAAGCAAAACAGACGACGACAATGATGATGCCTAGTGGCGGCGGGGAAGGGGGGAGCAGGGCTCAGGCGAGTTTGCGTCCGAGAATTAGTTCTACGAGGCACGCTTCCTCGCGGGCGAACGGACCCCCCTCCCCCCCCACACGCTTCATACGAGATAATTAACAAACAAAATTAACGAACCAGACGGGGCAGACTTCCACCCCCGCCCCACCTCCGACTTCAAAGCCAGCCAGATTGCTCCCGGCTGCAATGGTACCAAAGTCCATCTTCTCACCTTTACACTTCGATGTGCCGTTGAGCACTTGGGGAGTGGTTTTGGAGTTTGCACAATAAAACGACTGATCAAATCTGGAGGTTACACGTCTCTCCGTCTGTCTGCCGCACCCACCTCATGTCTAAGCCACCAACATCAGAGATCGAATTGTCTTTCTATAACCGTACAGAGGCTTTTCGTTAGTAATAGGTTTTTACTCTTTCAACTGGTACAAAAACGGACGCCAAAAGGCGTCATCTGGTCCAACACCATGTGAGACTAGGCTCTAAGAAAAGCTGTCTCGGGTGTGGACCAATCAAGTTCAAGGACAGTGCATATCATTATCATCATCAGAGTTGTTTCTTTTTGTTTGCATTTTGACTGCTTGTGTTGTGGTTATTGCAAACATGATGCCTGGTATAAAGGTGTCAGTTTTTGTACCAGTTGAAAGGGTAAAAACCTATTACTATATTTCGCCACTGGTAAATGCGATGTTAAAAATAAAAGTCCATCCCGTTTGTTGGTGAATTTTTTAAATATTTTAGGCAGGAAATAAGTTTTCAAATTTAGATATTTTTTCACGCTTTCATTTAACCCACTCTGTCTGTTGTTTCGATTTAAAGCTTTCGTGACTGCAGGGATTCATCTTCTTGATTCTTTCGGTAAAGTCGTCACGTAGAAGGGAAATAATAAAATAATGAAAATTAAACATAATTAAATTAAAATTCTCACGACGTTTCGGCCACAACGCAAGCAGCCGTCCTCAGGTGAAGAACAGGTCTGTCGAGAAACGGGTGAGGTTTTAGGACAGTGGTTCATGCAGCTGCAATGGCTGCTTTGGGTAGACGGTCCAAACATCCGCAGAGACCCTGGCTGACAGAGGAGGTGTTCAGGCTGGCTGAGAAAAAGCGACAGGCCCACTCTCATCGGCTACAGCATCCCACGTCGGAGAATGTGGAGGCTTTTACCGCAGCCTTCGCTCGGAGGTTCGGAGAGCCGTGAGGCGCTGCAAGGATGGGTGGTGGTTGCGGGCTGGTGAGGAGATGGAGTCTGCCTCAATGGCCCGCGATCACAAATTACTATTTAACTCCATCAAAAAAGTAACCTGCAGTGCCACACCTACTACCATCATTCGGGGAAAGAACGGTGATCCAATCTCCGACCCCCAGAAACAGATTTGCAGATTTGCTGAGCATTTCCGTGAGGTCCTTGGGGAGAGGGTGATTCCCTCAACCTCGAAAACTTTATCTTCTTGTTTCTTTCGGTGAAGTCGTCACGTAGAAGGGAAGTAATAAAATAATACAAATAAAACATAACAAAATAATTCCCACGACGTTTCGGCCACAACGCAAGCAGCCGCCCTCAGGTGAAGAATGAAACAGCACCAAGCTTGGGGCGTATATTTAAGCTGGGTTGGAGGGGGGGAGGTGTTTTGTGTTATGTTTTGTTTTTATTATTTTATTACTTCCCTTCTTTACCGAAAGAACTAAGAAGATTATGAGATTATTCACTCTTTGTGGAATGTGTAGGTGGTGGTGGTAGGGTGGTCTCAAAGTCATATTCTGCTCGTGTATTGTGTAGGATTAGCAGTGATGAAGGGTAGGGAATTTTTAAATCCTTTATATTAAGTTCACTTGCGTGCGTGCTTGCTTAGGACCGTGCAAATCTTTCGGTCGTTTTTTAACCCACTTCCCGTGATCCAATCGAGCTGACATTTTGCACATAGACTCGTCGTGCGTGACAATTAATGTTCGTGAAAAAAAAATTTCCCAAAATTTTACACTTTTTAGGCAAAGAAAAAATATTTTACATTTATTCAAATAGATCTCATTCATGGCTTTGGTTGAACGTCAGAGTGTAAGAGCCCAGAGCGTAACCCCTCCACTGGCCGTGGCGGAGTAGCACAGTTGGTAGCGCCCTCGCTTCCCATGCCAAAGGTCGCGGGATCGATCCCCGCGTCCTCCACAGGCGAATATATTTTTAAATCCTTTATATTAAGTTCGCCGCCACGCATATAAAGGATTTATAGTGAAAAACTTTGTTTTTACGGGTTATACTTGTAAATCGTAAGGAGCTGTGGTACAGGAGGACGTGGAGCTGAGTGGACTTGCCGATGACTGGTACCAGCGGTGTCAAGATCGGCCTCTGTGGAGGAGGCTCGTGAAGGACGCTACTGGGCTGTGCCAAGCTAGGTGCACATTGAGGCTACTGGGCAGTTAGAGGCAGTCGCCCTCCAACAACGGAGGGCGGAGGAGCGACGCTCACAACAACGAGCGGAGCGCCGGGTGGCTAAAGCACAGCAAGTTGGCACAGTAGGGGGCACAGGTGGTGCATCAGCCAGTCATCTCGGTCATCCTGGTCAGTTGACCCGTGGCACCTGCTGGGTCTACCCCGTGACCTCCTCCTGCACCTAGCCTGGCACAGCAGTCAATCCATGGCACCTGCTGGGTCTGTCCCGTGACCTCCTCCTGCACCTAGCCTGGCACAGCAGTCAATCCATGGCACCTGCTGGGTCTGTCCCGTGACCTCCTCCTGCACCTAGCCTGGCACAGCAGTCAACCCATGGCACCTGCTGGGTCTGTCCCGTGACCTCCTCCGGCACCTAGCCTGGCACAGCAGTCAACCCATGGCACCTGCTGGGTCTGCCCCGTGACCTCTTCCTGCACCTAGCCTGGCACAGCAGTCAAGCCATGGCACCTGCTGGGTCTGTCCCGTGACCTCTTCTTGCACCTAGCCTGGCACAGCAGTCAACCCATGGCACCTGCTGGGTCTGCCCGTGACCTCCTCCGGCACCTAGCCTGGCACAGCAGTCGACCCGTGGCACCTGCTGGGTCTGTCCCGTGACCTCCTGCCAGCGGGCGTTCGACACTTCACGTGGCCTCAAGGTGCACATGGCCTGGCACAAACGTCGTGGTGACGTCACCGCCACTTAATGGCGAATGGCGGTTGTTGTTGTGTCTGTGTGTCTGTGTGTCTGTGGTGATGGTGATGATGGTGGTGATGGTGGTGATGATGGTGATGGTGGTGATGGTGGTGATGGTGGTGATGATGGTGGTGGTGATGATGATGGTGATGATGATGGTGATGATGATGATGGTGATGATGGTGATGATGATGGTGGTGATGGTGATGGTGGTGATGATGGTGTGGTGATGGTGGTGATGATGATGATGATGGTGGGGATGATGATGATGATGGTGTTGATGATGATGGTGATGATGGTGGGATGATGGGTAGTGATGATGATGGTGGTGGTGGTGATGGTGGTGATGATGGTGGTGATGATGGTAGTGGTGATGATGGTGGTGATGATGATGGTGATGATGATGGTGGTGATGATGATGGTGATGAATGGTGATGATGGTGATGGTGATGATGATGGTGATGGTGGTGATTATGGTGGTGATGGTGATGATGGTGATGGTGGTGATGATGGTGTGATGGGTGATGATGGTGGTGATGGTGATGATGGTGATGATGGTGATGATGATGAATGGTGATGATGGTGATGATGGTGATGATGGTGATGGGGATGGTGGTGATGATGGTGATGGTGATGATGGTGATGATGATGGTGATGATGGTGATGATGATGGTGATGATGGTGATGGTGGTGATGATGGTGGTGGTGATGATGGTGATGATGATGGTGATGATGGTGATGATGGTGATGGTGGTGATGCTGGTGGTGATGATGATGGTGATGATGGTGGAGGTATGATGATGATGTGGTTGATGATGGGTTGATGATGGTTGATGTGTGATGATGGTGATGGTGTGATGATGATGATGGTGATGATGGTGATGATGGTGATGATGATGATGGTGATGATGATGGTGATGATGGTGGTGATGATGGTGATGGTGATGATGATGGTGGTGATGATGATGGTGATGATGGTGGTGATGATGATGATGATGGTGATGATGATGGTGATGATGATGGTGATGATGATGATGGTGGTGATGGTGGTGATGATGATGATGGTGATGATGGTGATATGGTGGTGGTGATGATGGTGATGATGATGATGGTGATGATGATGATGGTGATGATGATGATGGTGATGATGATGATGGTGATGATGATGATGGTGGTGATGATGATGATGGTGATGATGATGATGATGGTAATGATGGTGGTGATGATGATGGTGATGATGATGGTGATAATGGTGATGATGGTGGTGATGATAATGGTGATGATGATGATGATAATGGTGATGATGATGATGGTGGTGGTGATGGTGATGATGATAATGGTGATGATGATGGTGATGGATAATGGTGATGATGATGATGGTGATGATGATGATGGTGATGATGATGGATGGTGGTGGTGATGGTGATGATGATGGTGGTGGTGATGATGATGGTGATGATGATGATGGTGATGATGATAATGGTGATGATAATGGTGATGATGATGATGGTGGTGGTGATGGTGATGATGATGATGGTGATGATGGTGATGGCGACAAGGCCACCATCACCGCAGCCCTGCACTCACCTGCTGCTGCTGCTCAGTGAGTGTGCGGCTTTGCTCGCCTCCACACGACTCGGACATCGCCTCCATCGCCACCTCCACCACCTACTCCACCTCCTACTCCACCCACCTCCTCCTCCACCTCCTACGCGTCTCCCTCCGCGTCTCTCACTCACACACGGAAACAGGCGGTGACGTCACCCGGCCTCGAGTGACGTGACGTCATCCGTACCTTGGACAGGCGTGACGTCACACGGCCTAGGACAGGCGTGACGTCACCTTCATCTCCTCCGAGTCTCTCACACACACACGGGAACCGGCGTGACGTCACCCGTGCCTCGGACTGGCGTGACGTCACCCGTGCCTCGGACTGGAATGACGTCACCCGTGCCACGGACTGGCGTGACGTCACCACCTCGTCTCCCTCCGCGTCTCTCACACACACGGGAACCGGCGTGACGTCACCCGAGCCTCGGACTGGCATGACAACACCCCTACCTCGGAGTGGCGGGACGTCACACCCGTGCCTCGGACTGGCGTGACGTCAAACCCGTGCCTCGGAACGGCGTGACGTCACACCCGTGCCTCGGGGGGGGGGGGGGAGAGGAACGGGTGTTCGTGACGTCACGCGGGTCGAACAAGCCGAGGGGATGACGTCACCCCCTCACCGGCCACGGACGGCGTTGGGATCTGCGCGTGGTGACGTCATCGCGCAAACGACGCAGGCGCGTCGTGACGTCATCACGCAATCGACTTCAAGCGCGTGCGGTGACGTCATCGCGCAAGCCTGGTGGCGTTTCATTGAGACGCTGTCTCCCCGACAGACGCTGTTCTTCACCTGAGGACGGCTGCTTGCGTTGTGGCCGAAACGTCGTGAGAATATTTTTTATTATGTTTTATTTTGTTATTTTATTTAGTTAAATTGTTATTATTTTATTATGTTTTTTCTTTTATTATTTTATAAAGTTTTATTTTATTATTTCATTATGGTTTATTTTAATATTTTATTGTTTTATTGTTATTATTTTATTATGTTTTATTTTATTATCTTATTATGTTTTATTTGAATTATTTTATTATGTTTTTTAGTTTATTATTTTATAAAGTTTTATTTTATTAATTTATTATGGCTTATTTTAAGACACTGACACACAGACAACAACAACCGCCATTCGCCACTAAGTGGCGGTGACGTCACCACGACGCTTGTGCCAGGCTATGTGCACCTTGAGGCCACGTGAAGTGTCGAACGCCCGCTGGCTGATGCACCACCTGTGCCCCCTACTGTGCCAACTTGCTGTGCTTTAGCCACCCGGCGCTCCGCTCGTTGTTGTGAGCGTCGCTCCTCCGCCCTCCGTTGTTATTGGAGGGCGACTGCCTCCAACTGCCCAGTAGCCTCAATGTGCACCTAGCTTGGCACAGCCCAGTAGCGTCCTTCACGAGCCTCCTCCACAGAGGCCGATCTTGACACCGCTGGTACCAGTCATCGGCAAGTCCACTCAGCTCCACGTCCTCCTGTACCACATCACTCCATCTCTTCTCCAGCCCGTGCCGCGCCCGTCTAGCCCCCTCGATCCGGCCGAACAAAAGCTGTTTAAGCATGCGGTGGCTGGGCATGCGGGCTACATGACCCAGCCAACGCAGCCTTGCCTGCCGGAGGAGCTCACCGATGGGACTTTGCCCAGATCTTTTAAGGATTTGTGAGCTCCACACACAATCCAGTCAACATCTACCACGACCTCCTGCGTACCAGGCGAGGTAGTCAACATCTACCACGACCTCTTGCGTACCAGGCGAGGTGGTCAACATCTACCACGACCTCTTGTAGACCAGGCGAGGTAGTCAACATTTACCACGACCTCTTGTAGACCAGGCGAGGTGGTCAACATCTACCACGACCTCCTGTAGACCAGGCGAGGTGGTCAACATTACCACGACCTCTTGTAGACCAGGCGAGGTGGTCAACATCTACCACGACCTCCTGTAGACCAGGCGAGGTAGTCAACATCTACCACGACCTCCTGTAGACCAGGCGAGGTAGTCAACATCTACCACGACCTCCTGTAGACCAGGCGAGGTAGTCAACATCTACCACGACCTCTTGTAGACCAGGCGAGGTAGTCAACATCTACCACGACCTCTTGTAGACCAGGCGAGGTGGTCAACATCTACCACGACCTCTTGTAGACCAGGCGAGGTAGTCAACATCTACCACGACCTCTTGTAGACCAGGCGAGGTAGTCAACATCTACCACGACCTCTTGTAGACCAGGCGAGGTGGTCAACATCTACCACGACCTCTTGTAGACCAGGCGAGGTGGTCAACATCTACCACGACCTCTTGTAGACCAGGCGAGGTAGTCAACATCTACCACGACCTCTTGTAGACCAGGCGAGGTAGTCAACATCTACCACGACCTCCTGTAGACCAGGCGAGGTAGTCAACATCTACCACGACCCTCCTGTAGACCAGGCGAGGTAGTCAACATCTACCACGACCTCTTGTAGACCAGGCGAGGTGGTCAACATCTACCACGACCTCTTGTAGACCAGGCGAGGTGGTCAACATCTACCACGACCTCTTGTAGACCAGGCGAGGTAGTCAACATCTACCACGACCTCTTGTAGACCAGGCGAGGTAGTCAACATCTACCACGACCTCCTGTAGACCAGGCGAGGTAGGTCAACATCTACCACGACCTCTTGTAGACCAGGCGAGGTAGTCACATCTACCACGACCTCTTGTAGACCAGGCGAGGTAGTCAACATCTACCACGACCTCTTGTAGACCAGGCGAGGTGGTCAACATCTACCACGACCTCTTGTAGACCAGGCGAGGTGGTCAACATCTACCACGACCTCTTGTAGACCAGGCGAGGTAGTCAACATCTACCACGACCTCTTGTAGACCAGGCGAGGTAGTCAACATCTACCACGACCTCTTGTAGACCAGGCGAGGTAGTCAACATCTACCACGACCTCCTGTAGACCAGGCGAGGTAGTCAACATCTACCACGACCTCTTGTAGACCAGGCGAGGTAGTCAACATCTACCACGACCTCTTGTAGACCAGGCGAGGTAGTCAACATCTACCACGACCTCCTGTAGACCAGGCGAGGTAGTCAACATCTACCACGACATCTTGTAGACCAGGCGAGGTAGTCAACATCTACCACGACCTCTTGTAGACCAGGCGAGGTAGTCAACATCTACCACGACCTCTGTAGACCAGGCGAGGTAGTCAACATCTACCACGACCTCTTGTAGACCAGGCGAGGTAGTCAACATCTACCCGACCTCTTGTAGACCAGGGCGAGGTAGTCAACATCTACTACGACCTCTTGTAGACCAGGCGAGGTAGTCAACATCTACCACGACCTCTTGTAGACCAGGCGAGGTAGTCAACATTTACTACGACCTCTTGTAGACCAGGCGAGGTGGTCAACATCTACCACGACCTCTTGTAGACCAGGCGAGGTGGTCAACATCTACCACGACCTCCTGTAGACCAGGCGAGGTAGTCAACATCTACCACGACCTCTTGTAGACCAGGCGAGGTAGTCAACATCTACCACGACCTCTGTAGACCAGGCGAGGTAGTCAACATCTACCACGACCTCTTGTAGACCAGGCGAGGTGGTCAACATCTACCACGACCTCTTGTAGACCAGGCGAGGTAGGTCAACATCTACCACGACCTCTTGTAGACCAGACGAGGTAGTCAACATCTACCACGACCTCTTGTAGACCAGGCGAGGTAGTCAACATCTACCACGACCTCCTGTAGACCAGGCGAGGTAGTCAACATCTACCACGACCTCTTGTAGACCAGGCGAGGTAGTCAACATCTACCACGACCTCCTGTAGACCAGGCGAGGTAGTCAACATCTACCACGACCTCTTGTAGACCAGGCGAGGTGGTCAACATCTACCACGACCTCCTGTAGACCAGGCGAGGTAGTCAACATCTACCACGACCTCCTGTAGACCAGGCGAGGTAGTCAACATCTACCACGACCTCCTGTAGACCAGGCGAGGTAGTCAACATCTACCACGACCTCCTGTGTACCAGGCGAGGTAGTCAACATCTACCACGACCTCCTGTAGACCAGGCGAGGTAGTCAACATCTACCACGACCTCTTGTAGACCAGGCGAGGTAGTCAACATCTACCACGACCTCCTGTAGACCAGGCGAGGTAGTCAACATCTACCACGACCTCCTGTGTACCAGGCGAGGTAGTCAACATCTACCACGACCTCTTTTAGACCAGGCGAGGTAGTCAACATCTACCACGACCTCCTGTAGACCAGGCCAAGTAGTCGTCAACTCACGCAACTCAATCAGCCATGGACCACACACAGCGCCCCCATTGACATCGACTCGTCATTTATTTCCCGTGACACCCAACCGCGTGGACACGTGACACCTCACCGCGTGACACGTGACACATCACCACGTGGACACGTGACACATCACCACGTGGACACGTGCCCCCCCATATCGCGCCGCGTGATGGGTGGTGGTGGGTGGGGGGTGGGTGGTGGTGGGGGGGGGTGGTGGGTGGGTGCGGGGTGGGTGGTAGGGCTGAGTGGTGGGTGGGTGGGTGTGTGGTGGTGGGTGGGTGGGCGGTGGGTGGTGGTGGGTGGGAGGTGGGTGGTAGGCGTGGGTGGGTGGTGGGTGGGTGGGTGGTGGGTGGGTGGTGGGTGGGTGGGCGGTGGGTGGTGGTGGGTTGGAGGTGGGTGGTAGGCGTGGTTGGGTGGTGGGTGGGCGGTGGGTGGGTGGTGGGTGGGTGAGTGGTGGATGGGCGGTAGGTGGTGGTGGGTGTGTGGTGGTGGGTGGTGGGTGGGTGGGTGGTAGGGCTGAGTGGTGGGGGGTTGGGTGTGTGGGCGGTGGGTGGGTGTGTGGTGGTGGGTGGTGGGTGGGGGTGGGTGGGTGGTGGGGGGGTGGGTGGGTGTGTGGTGGTGGGTGGGTGGTGGGGGGTGGGTGGTAGGGCTGAGTGGTGGGTGGGCGGTGGGTGGTGGTGTGTGGGCGGTGGGTGGGTGTGTGGTGGTGGGTGGTAGGGCTGAGTGGTGGGTGGGCGGTGGGTGGTGGTGGGTGGGTGGTGGGTGGGTGGGGGTGGTGGGTGGGTGGTGGGGGGAGTCGTGGCAAGAAAGCATGGAGTGTTTTTTTTTTTAGAGAGAAAACGTAAATCGTTAATTTAAATGAGAAATTTAAAAGTTTTACCTACTCCTCCCCCCCACTAACTACCCCCCACTAATCCCCCCCCACTAACTACCCCCCACTAACTACCCCCCACTAATCCCCTCCCCCCCCCACTAACTAAACCTAAAACATCTCAAAGGGCGGCGCTGCCCATTAATCGGTCCCGGGAGAGGCGACAGGCGGGTGGAGTGGGTGGGTGAGTGAGTGGTGGGTGGAGTGGGTGGGTGAGTGGGTGGGTGGGTGAGTGGGTGGGTGGGTGAGTGGGTGGTGGGTGGGTGAGTGGGTGGGTGAGTGGGTGGGTGAGTGGGTGGGTGAGTGGGTGGGTGGGGTGAGTGGGTGGGTGAGTGGGTGGGTGAGTGAGTGGGTGGATGAGTGAGTGAGTGAGTGGGTTGGGTGAGTGGGTGGGTGGGTGAGGGGTGGGTGAGTGGGTGGGTGAGTGGGTGGGTGGGTGAGGGGGTCAGTGGCAGGTGAGATTTTTCTCCACTTACATTGATTGTTAAATTCACTCTGAAACGCTACTCAGTGGCACTGCTGACCACAATCACCATCTTCACCACCACCACCACCTCACCCACCACCTTCACCACCACCTTCACCACCACCACCTTCACCACCACCTTCACCACCACCTTCACCACCACCTTCACCACTTCCTCCTCCCTCCTAGACGGTATATATACGTGTGTATAGGTGTGTGTGTGTATATAGGTGTGTGTATAGGTGTGTGTGTGTATATAGTTGTGTGTGTGTCTGTGTGTGTGTCTTTGTGTGTGTGTACACGGTTTATATAATGTGTCTGTGTGTACACGGTGTGTGTCTGTGTGTACACGGTGTGTGTCTGTGTGTACACGGTGTGTGTCTGTGTACACGGTGTGTGTGTGTGTTGTGTACACGGTGTGTGTGTGTGTGTGTACACGGTGTGTGTCTGTGTGTACACGGTGTGTGTGTGTGTGTACACGGTGTGTGTCTGTGTGTACACGGTGTGTGTCTGTGTGTACAAGGCTTATATATATACGTGTGTGTATACGGTGTGTGTCTGTGTGTACACGGTGTGTGTGTGTACAAGGTTTATATATATATATACGTGTGTGTGTATATATGGAGCCGTTGCAGAGGATTCTACAATGGTCTTCATCCGTACAAAAAGAAAAAAGTGTCCCTCCACTCCGGTCCTGCGACACGAAACACACAGAACACACACAGACACACACACAGACACACCACACAGACACACACAGACACACACACAGACACACACACAGACACACACACACAGACACACACAGACACACACCACACAGACACACACACAGACACACACACACAGACACACACACAAACGCTGCGGTTAGTGTGGAGTAAACATCACCACTGGGGGAGAGACAAAGGCGGCCGGGCGTGGTGGTGTAGGTGCTGCTGCTACTCACTACTAACAGCACTTGCCCCTACAGTCCTGCTAGAGGCTACACGGGGGAGCTTTGTCTGTGTATAGGTGTAGGTGATGGTGTAGGTGGTGGTGTAGATGATGGTGTAGCTGGTGGTGTAGGTGTAGGGGTGTAGGTGATGGTGTAGGTGATGGTGTAGTGTGGTGGTGTAGATGATGGTGTAGCTAGTGGTGTAGGTGTAGGGGTGTAGGTGATGGTGTAGGTGATGGTGGTGTAGGTGGTGTAGATGGTGGTGTAGGTGATGGTGTAGGTGGTGGTGTAGGTGATGGTGTAGGTGGTGGTGTAGATGATGGTGTAGGTGTAGGGGTGTAGGTGATGGTGTAGGTGGTGGTGTAGGTGGTGGTGTAGATGATGGTGTAGGTGTAGGGGTGTAGGTGATGGTGTAGGTGATGGTGGTGTAGGTGGTGGTGTAGGTGGTGGTGTAGTTGATGGTGTAGGTGATGGTGTAGGGGTGTTGGTGATGGGTGTACCTGGACACACTGTGTTCCAGGCTGTGCCCAGGCCTAGATGTAGGTGATGGTGTAGGTGTAGGAGTGTAGGGGGGGTGTAGTTGATGGTGTAGTTGATGGGTGTACCTGGCACGCTGGTGTCCAGGCTGTGCCCAGGCCTAGATGTAGGTGAGGGTGTAGGTGTAGGAGTGTAGGTGGGGGTGTAGTTGATGGTGTAGTTGATGGGTGTACCTGGCACGCTGGTGTCCAGGCTGTGCCCAGGCCTAGATGTAGGTGATGGTGTAGGTGGTGGTGTAGGTGTAGGAGTGTAGTTGATGGTGTATGTGTAGGTGTAGGGGTGTAGGTGATGGGTGTACCTGGCACGCTGGTGTTCCAGGCTGTGCCCAGGCCTAGATGTAGGCTCTGTGTATAGGTGTAGGTGGTGGTGTAGGTGTAGAGGTGTAGGCGATGGTGTAGGTGATGGTGGAGGTGTAGGAGTGTAGGTGAGGGTGTAGTTGATGGTGTAGTTGATGGGTGTACCTGGCACACTGTGTCCAGGCTGTGTTTAGGCCTAGATGTAGGCTCTGTGTATAGGTGTAGGTGGTGGTGTAGGTGTAGAGGTGTAGTTATGGGTGTACCTGGACACGCTATGTTCCAGGCTGTGTCCAGGCCTAGATGTAGGTGATGGTGTAGGTGTAGGAGTGTAGGTGGGGGTGTAGTTGATGGTGTAGTTGATGGGTGTACCTGGCACGCTGGTGTCCAGGCTGTGCCCAGGCCTAGATGTAGGTGATGGTGTAGGTGGTGGTGTAGGTGGGGGTGTAGTTGATGGTGTAGTTGATGGGTGTACCTGGCACGCTGGTGTCCAGGCGCGTGGTGCAGGCTGTGCCCAGGCCTAGATGTAGGCTCTGTGTATAGGTGTAGGTGGTGGTGTAGGTGATGGTGGAGGTGTAGGAGTGTAGGTGAGGGGTGTAGTTGATGGTGTAGTGATGAGGGTGTACCTGGCACGCTGGTGTCCAGGCTTGCCCAGGCCTAGATGTAGGCTCGGCTCTGGCGGATGGCGCAGCACAGAAGCATGCTGACACCATGCCAAACACCTGCCGGGGGCGGGGGGGGGGGCACCAGCCGCGTGTCAGTGACGCTGCTCAATGATGATGGGATGATGATGACGATGATGGATGGTTGATGACGATGGTGTGATGGCGATGATGATGACGATGATGATGGTGATGATGATGATGGTGATGATGGTGATGATGATGATGGTGATGATGATGATGGTGATGATGATGGTGATGATGATGATGACGATGATGGCAATGATGGTGATGATGATGATGGTGATGATGAGATGATGATGACGATGATGGTGATGATGATGGTGATGATGATGATGATGGTGTGATGATGATGATGACGATGATGATGAGTGATGGCGATGATGATGATGATGGTGATGATGATGATGATGGTGATGACGATGGTGATGATGATGGTGATGGCGATGACGATGATGATGATGACGATGATGATGATGGTGATGATGGATGATGGTGATGATGATGATGACGATGATGGTGATGATGATGATGGCGATGATGATGATGATGACGATGATGATGATGGTGATGATGATGATGAGATGATGGTGATGATGATGATGATGGTGATGATGATGATGGGATGGTGATGATGATGACGATGATGATGATGGTGATGATGTGTGATGACGATGGTGACGATGATGATGGTGATGACGATGATGATGATGATGGTGATGATGATGGTGATGATGATGGTGATGGCGATGATGATGATGGTGATGATGATGACGATGATGATGATGACGGTGATGATGATGATGGTGATGACGATGATGATGATGGTGATGATGATGATGGTGATGATGATTGACGATGATGGTGATGGATGATGATGGCGATGATGATGATGACGATGATGATGATGGTGATGATGGTGATGGTGATGATGATGATGACGATGATGACGATGACGATGCTGATGACGATGATGACGACGATGACGACGACGATGATGATGACGATGATGATGACGATGATGATGACGATGATGATGATGACGATGATGATAACGATGATGATGATGATGACGATGATGATAACGATGATGATGACGATGATGATGATGACGATGATGATGACGATGATGACGATGACGATGATGATAACGATGATGATGATGATGATGACGATGATGATAACGATGATGATGACGATGATGATGATGACGATTGATGACGATGACGATGATGACGACGATGACGATGATGATGATGACGACGATGACGATGATGATGATGAAGATGATGACAATGATGATGATGACGATGATGACGATGATGATGACGATGATGATGACGATGATGATGATGACGATGATGATGATGATGACGATGATGACGATGATGATGATGATGACGATGATGATGACGATGATGACAACGATGATGATGATGACGATGATGATGACGACGATGATGACGAGGATGATGATGACGATGATGATGATGATGACGATGACGATGATGATAACGATGACGATGATGATGATGACGATGATGATGACGATTGATGATGACGATGACGATGATGACGATGATGATGACGATGATGACGACGATGATGACGACGATGATGACGACGCTGCTGCTGATGATGATGATGATGACGACGATGATGACGATGATGATGACGATAACGATGACGCTTGCTGATGTAACCGCAC